TGACTAGCTACCTTCCCTCTAGTCTTACACTGCTAAATTAGGGACGGCTAGCGCAGATAGCTCTCGTGTAGCTTTGCGCGAAATTCAAAACAAACAAACAAACCAACCTCCATCGTGAAAGTCCCAACAGCTAAGTGTAAAATGGCAAGCATACATAGTGTCTATGTGACAGGGAAGCTGGATGGCCAAAGGTGCAACTTTGTCATAGACTCAAGGTGTTAGATCACGAAGGAGTACCAGAAGCCATACAGAAGCTTTATGGTGTGACAGGACATTCTACAAGATTATGGGGACCAGTGTGGGTAACTATTGAGCTCATGGGCATAAAGGACAGACAGAAAGTATACTGACATTGAAGACGAATGTATATTAGGATTGGACTATCTACTACCAAGGAAGTTTGTAATTGATTTTGATAAAATGACGTTTGGGAATAACAAAGGCCAAGTTCCGGTAACTGTTAAACGAGAGGTTGAACTAATTAGGTACCATCAAGGTGAAGTCAAAGAGACTGAAGAAGTTGATGATGGTGAAGTGGAACCAAATATATATATCAAAGCAGAGCAAGAGAAAGATCAAGATTTGAAGCCAATAATTGATTTTTTGAAAGCAAGTGTTTCGCGCCCTGCTTGGGAGAAGGTGTCTAGTCTAAGCCCTGTGACAAAGCACTATTGGGCACAATGGGACCAGTTAAAGCTTGAAGATGGTATTCTTCTCCGGAGATGGGAAACTACAGATGGGAAATTGACGACTTGGCAAACGGTTATATCAAAAAAGTTACGGAAGTTGTGCTGCGTCAATCCCATGATACTTTAACAGGAGAACATCTCGGAATTAAGAAGACATTGAGTCACCTACGACAAAGATTTTACTAGATAGGTATGAGACAAGAATGGTGCAGAATGTTGTGCTAAAAGGGGACCCAAGCATAAGGGACGTACTCCAATGAAGTTATATCAAGTTGATACACCAATGGAAAGAGTAGCCGTCGACATTTCTGGTCCTCTGCCCCAAACTCGTGCTGGAAACAAGTACATTTGTGTGGTGATGGATTATTTCACCAAGAGGCCTGAGGCATATGCAATACCTAATCAGGAAGCTACAACTGTAGCTTCGGCTATTAGTGATTTCTTCTTCAGATTTGGTATGCCATATGAACTGCATTCAGATCAAGGTCGTAACTTT